ATGACAAAACAACTATTGACAGAAAAAAAGGAAAAAATGTTGCTTACCTGGTCGATATCATGGCTACCCATGGTGACTTCTCGTACACCATAATTTCGATTATAGACGAAACAAAGCGAATCGCCAACATTGCACACGCATAGTACCCAGCTAAAATATAAAAAAATGGAGTTCCAAAAAATAAAGTTTAGATAATATCTGATCCGAAAACTCAAAAGGTAATAAAACAGCAACATAAGATTCTAGAAAAATTGTAGTCGGAGAATAAAAACTAATAAAATGATCCTAAGATTTTCTTACCTGTCACAATGAATCGCAGGTGCTACTACGGCGACACAAAGGGTCGTAAGCATGCCTCCTTCTTGCAATATTAGCGAATGGGCAGAATGGAATGAAGCAAGAAGCTCATGGAAAACTTCCTAAACTCATACTCATACGTACAGATTGCTGAAGCTCACAAAAGAAAAAAGAAGAAATTCAAATAAAAAAGGTAGATCGTAAGCCGTCTATCAAAAGATTTACCACAAAATTCTAAAAATCATAGCGACATACCGTAGTGTTAGCCAAATTGCCATCTTCAATATGTTCATTCATATGGTCAATGGCGCCACGAACGGCACATCGTGCCGCCAAACGAGCTCCTTCGCCCCAGTTCACACCATCGGCCAATGCTAGCACCTGTACAAAAACCATAATTGACTCCAGGAGATTATAAGGGACAACAAAAAAACAAAAATATACCCCATTGTTGCTCCTGCCAACAACTCCCCATACGTCTGCAACTGGTTCACCGGCGTTCACTCCAGTGAGTGGATTCTTCTCGTACAATGAAACAGAAGCGCCGAAAGCTCGTCTCTCATCAAACTGATTCCAGTCGTAGCGCTCTGCAAGTGATTTAGTAGGGATTTTTCTCGATCTTCATGTGGTCAACGAAAATATTCAAATAGCTGAGAATATTTGAGAAAAAATATGCAATTTTATAGGTCACTTATATGTAGAAAAAAAAGAAAACAAA